GATGGGGCGTTTGGCGAATAGATTACCAGACCAACAGTCCAACTTGTTGCGAGATTGCCGACACATTTGTCATGACGCTGCTCAGAGGTGACGAGACTCACCAGAAACTACACACTTCTTGTCTAGTAGAATGAACAAGTAAAGGCATGAATTGACTGCATGTGCGAAAGCGACTACGCGGGGCTATGTTGCCGTCTGCATGGCCAGCGTTGTCAGGAGAAGTCATGAACCCCACTTTCGACAACGTCTAGTTATATTACATGCGCTGACGACTAGCCTTTGTGCCAACATGATTCTGAAAGTCACCGTTTCTCACACTCTCGACACAGCCGACGATGCCTTGGTATTCGCGTCACCCGGACTCAGCCAGTCAGTCTCGTTCCATGTCGTCCCCGACGTCGCTCGCCATCCAACCGCCGTCGTGTGAGAGACAGAAGTATTATTTGCCTCTGTCTCTACTGGCGCCAGTAGCAGGGCAAGGCCCTCTCATGAATTCTGATGCGATTGAATCAAGGGGTCCTGAAATCGTACTTCAGGTCTCCACGATGGATTATTATCGGTGAAAGAAAGATTCCCATGTTGTGGCGAGATTCGTGTTGTGCGCTTAGAAGTTGCCGTTCACAGCTGCGCCATATCGTGTTCCAGGCTTCTGATATAGGCACCTTGGTTGTCCAGGGTTTTCAGTTGTAGCTCCCCAGTCTCCCTCGCGCTGTTGATCTCTGCTGCGAGTCTGCGTATCGTTTCGTCCTGTGCTGCAGCGTGAGCGCGGCAGTGATTAATACTGGCACCCACTTTGTCTATGACGAGCGTGACAAGGCCCGGCGTGAGATCATCAAGCGAGGAATCGACCATGTGCTGCGGCGCAGCCATGGCAAAGATGGATAGCGAAGAGCGTACGGGTTTTGATTCAATTGTTGATTCGCCCAAAATGTTGGCGGCGAACTGTAACCGGCCAATGCAACTCTGGACGGTGAACGCTGATTACAGGAGAAGCCCTTGGCGACATATCTTACTAGCGAGCGGTTGGATTGAACTCTTTTATCGACGTCCAGACAGCTGTGGGCTCTGCATCGAGTTTGTACCCAGAAAACTGCTGGCCCGAGGAGGCAATTATGGCTTTCGAGGTCATAGCATCCACCTTAGTATGCTCGTACTGTAGCTCCAGTACAAGCGCCTCCGACTCGGATTTCGTCCTTCATCTGGCGCAGTGGACGGTCCTACCATCTTTTTAGTTGGCGCAGACCTTGTAGCCATGGGCCGTTTCAGTCGCAGATCCCTTCCAATTCCGCCGGCCCGCCATGGTCGCAGCGCATTGGCCATCAGTACAGTAGACAGATAGAGAACCATAGTAGCAATGCGCGCAAGCCAGTGAGCGCTCTCGTTTTTTCTGATGATCGCGTTCTAGTCAAGTAGGTTTGTAAAGCACAATGAATTGAATAATTAACTTGCTCCGTGTCTGTGACTTTCACTTGAACATGGAACAATGTTTTCGTCGCATTGCCTGGAAGACCGATTCTCCCGGATGAGACGTCCTTTCTCCAATCAAAGACCCCTATAATCATGATTAACTTCAAGGTCATCGTGTAGGTATAGTTTTTGTGCGACCCAGGTGTGCTACTTGGAGGCTTTATCGTGACTCGACCGCAAGCCACGCAATTCTGAGAGCCTCAGTCTAGCAGTGCGAAGTAGATCTTTGCATCTTACCAAGTGGGGAGGTATATTCGATTGAACATGTCATCTTCTTCATCATGTGTGCAAATACAAAGGCCGAACCGGGATGTTGCTGTCCAATCTGTAAGACACGGTATGTATCCAGCAACCTGAGAAGAGAGGTGGCTCGTTCTAGGTACACCTGTGGTTTTGTGTTTCCTTATCTCTCACGCATAAGACGGACAGGGAAAGGGTCTTCTATCAATGATCTCACCGTTTCTGTCACGATCACCTACATTAAGACGTCCATTTTCCCAGCAACACCGTTACGTTGTCCGATAATGCTAAGACACGGCCAGGCTTCATTCCATGTACAAGAACTGGCTCCAGCATCTCTGGTTACGCCGTGTAGCATGCTAGACATGAACTTGTGTGGACAAGTGTAGACAAGTGATCCATAGGGGTCAGGGAAAAGAGAGAGGATGGGGAGGAGAATGAAGACTTAACCCAATGGGCCATGGTGTACTGTGCTCCACGAGCCGACCTGATGTGTACGTTGGCTCGCATCTGCCAACGTGTGGATACGCATGCATCCCTTCCCATGAAACTGACCCCCGCGTCCTCTTGCAATGGTACCGGAAGAGCGAAGACCAGATAGCTCTTGTACAGACCCCTTTTCCGGTGGGTCTGCTACAGGTTACGATTAGGAAAGATGGCATGCAGCTAGTTTTTGGTGTATAAAACCAGCGCCCATTCATCTCATCCCCCGTTCTTCCTATCTTGATCTTCATCCTTGCATCATTCTGACACTGATTCATTTTAGTTACCGCTGTCCAAAGAAAGCCTCGTATGTCATTCGATAGCCAAATGGGCATCATCTCATAAGTGTTGGTAGTTTAAAGTCTGAATTCTCAACCTCTTGAACACCGACGCGTCTCCGAGTATCAACACCCATCACAAAAACCGGTGAATCAACTTTCTGGAATACCTTGCTGCGGCGAGGTTTTCTCGGTACGAACTCCTTTTGACACCGCAATCCCCCTTTCCCAGCCATCCCAAAAGGCCTATCTCCAAGTTCTCTATAGTATCATCTGACATCAGCATTTTCTCCAGATTTCTTGGTTGCGGAGATGGTGCACGCTCTCACACACACCTCGGTGGCGAATTGCGACCCCCGAGCTATCGCACCTATCATTGATCTGGGCCCTACGATCCAGCCATGGCTGGCTCAGACGCTTCGGAGCGTTGAGAAACAAATGGAACCACTCGACAGCGTCCTCCATCACCAAACATGTATGATCAAAACGCTCTCGACTCCTAAAAGCATTTGGTATCTTGCATGCATCATGGTGCCCAATCCTCCAGAGTCAGAGCTACGCCAAAACCTTATTCAAGATGTCGAGCGATTGTCCGATTTCCGACTTATCCACATCGAGGCATACACCATTCACGTCGACATGAGGGATCGGGACGAGGTGGCCTTCAAGCTGACCACCGAGTCGATCAACTCCCTTGTAGAGTACTACGAAAGATACCACCGCGTTGGTCTCGTGGCGAAGATGCATGAGAGGTCTGGGAATGATCGAATGCGGAATAAGGTGCCCGAGGACTTTGCACGCGCCATCAACGAGTTCGTGTACCGTACACATGTCTCCGCTTTGGAAGGTCTCGAAGAGGACGGAACCGGCGAGTTCCTGGTTAATGATAGTGAAAGGGTGAAGGACATCATTCTGGGCATGATTGAATCACCTGATGGGACCTCTATTATCTCTCGATTATCTTGAGAAGAATACTGTCAAGCCGTTTGTTTCTCTATCAATCTTATTG